TGGAGAAGTCCCTTGGAGCCGACTCAACAGCATTTGTGGAGGTGCCCATGGACGTGGTCATGCACTATTACCACAGAGCGAAGCGACAATCCAGCATCTTGCCTCTCTCCCAGCGACTTGCGTGGCTTGAAGCGAGGGACCTGGAAGACCGCTCAGACTGGGTGGCGCGATTCAGGGAGTCCTCCAAGTCCTTGGGGGAGGTTATCAAGGAAACATGCCAGGCGCGTGATGCCCATTGGATGCCGCAGGCTGTCTCTGGAGGAACCAGGGCAGAAGCGAGCAAGACAACTCCAACGCCCTCATCCACGACCCCGATGCCCTCTCAGTTCACTCTGGGGAAGGCAGTGAACGGGAAGAAGGTCGCCAAGACCATGAGGGATGGCACGAAGATCTGCCAGGCTTTCCAACATGGGCAGTGCAAGAATCCCAAAGGCTCCTGTCCTCAAGGACAGCACAAGTGTGGTGCGGTTGTCCGGGGGGAGCGAGTCTGTGGTATGCCGGGGCATGGTGCTGGCCAGTGCAGGGCCAAGGTATCGCCATGACGGTGCCCAGCAGAGGAGGCGGGGACTTCTGCCGGGCAGGAAGAGGCAACACCCGTAGACAGAGTTGACTGTCAGCTGCCGCGGATGGCAGATCTTTATGCGGGGCCCAACGTTGGGAGACTATCTCAGTGGACTGGATGCTTGACCGGGGTCACGACCTATCCAACAGCCTGAGGCAGCAATCACTGCATGATCAGTTACAATCGGTTTGTTTCATTGCAGCCGCCCTGGATTGTTCTACAAAGAGCCGGGCCAGAGAGATCCCCCGAGATTTTGGAGATGGTAGGCCACCACCCCGACCGTTGCGATCGGAACAACACCCGCTGGGGCTTCCTGAGTTGACAGGGTCTCAGTACAGCAGGGTGGAGAAGGACAACGCAGCTGCCAGCTTTGTGCTCTCTGAGATTGACCAGTTGGTAGATCGGGGGGGTGGCTCTGTCCGGGAGAACCCATACAACAGCCTTCATTGGTGGACGCCGGATGAAGTTAGCATGTGGGATAGTGGTCGGTGGTCAGACCAGCGGTACTCAGCATGTTGCTTTGGAGGTGCCAGGGCGAAGTTGCAACGCCTTAGGCACAACATTGCAGAAATCGCACAATGGCCCAGGGCTGACTGCAACCACTTTCATGACCCACAGGAATGGGAGCCATGGATCCAAGACGGCCAACGGCACTACCCATCCGCTGAGGAGTCCGAGTACACAGCAGAACTTTGCTTTGCGATCGCCACAGCGGCTTCATGGTGGGCGGTGCGTGTTGGTCATGCCAAAATGTATGTGCCGCGTTCGCCATCCCCTAGCTGTACCGGTCACAGGGATCATTGGCTTGACTTGGACCCCAGGTCTCTCCGAGAATGGGCTATGACTCCTTTGGCAATCAGTCTGGGGTTGAGGCCGGTGGACACGGCGGAAGCGGCTCGTGTGCCAACCCGGGCTTGTGTCGAGGAGGTGCTGCAGCAGGGCGAGTTGCCCCTGGGGCACGTCTATGTGGGTATGGGAAACCACGCTCACCGGCTCCAGACAACGAAGTGGAAATCTCCTTGGCAAGTTGGGGTGAATTGCACACCACAAGATTGGCTTCCCCTCTTTGTTCAGTATGTCAGAGAGACGTTATGGCAGGAGCTGGACGAGCTGGAAGGCAAGGTTTTGGTGTGTGATTGCCCAGCAGCACAGACCTGCGAGGCTGACCTCTTGGCAGGGCTTGTGTTTGACCGGCTCAGCTTACATCGCCATCCAGTAGCTCCCCAAGTTGTCCAAGGATCGAATGGCAGGAGCCACACGGCAGTGACACGCAGTGTCCTCCTGTCGAGCATTGCCAAAGCGACGGGCACCCCTTTTGGGCCTTTCTACATCCTGCAGGAGTCACTGGCGCTGGCGTTCAAGAAGCTCTACCCAGGTGACTGGTTGGAAGGGCTTGCCATCCCATTCGTCGAGGATTTGGTGAACCAGCACCCGCTTGACCTGTATACTCGTTGGAGGCACCAACAGGGGCTTGACATGGAAGGCAGCTGGAACCCAGTTTTGGCAGCTCCTTCCGTGCGGCAGAAGATGCGGACAGCTGAGGGCCAGCAGGTGTGGGCCATCAACCACAGGGCTGCGCTGGCACCCCTCTTGCCGTTCCATCTTCACCCGGACCAGCATTTTGAGCAAGCTTTGCAACTGAGTGTACAACCTTTGCCTACAGAAGGGCTTCCGGTGTTGGATGATGACCTTCGCTTTGCGGCTTCCTTCTCAAGCATGCCAGGAGTCGACCTGAGCAAGCTGAGAAAACGTGCTATGGGCCTTTTAGCCGAGATGAAGAGGCGCTGGAGCAAGGTCACGGAACATTTGAGGACCAAACAGACTGAGGCAATTCGGACGGCCACTGCACAAAGAGACATTGGTTTCACAGCCATCCTGTTGCTTTTAGCCAACTGGGGCGATGTGACGCTGCCGGCTGGCCTTTGCATGGGGCTCCCAGCAGTGGGATACGCACCCCCCTATGGCATATTCCCAGAGCAGGAGGCATCCCGCTTGACACGGGAGGATGTCCTTCGTGATTGGAGGACCCACAACCGGTGGATCCTGACTCGTTTGAGGCCTGGCAACGATGATGAATTCATGTTACAACAGAGCCTCAAGGATGCTGAGAAAGGCTTCTGCAGCTCGCCGATGGATGCAGAGGAACTGCACAGTTTGCTGGGTGCAGAGCCTTATCGTTTGATTCCTCGATGTGTGATCACACAATCCTCGGGGAAGCAACGGGTGATTGACGACGCCTATGTAGGCCTACAGTCTGAGCGTTCCAGTGACGCCAACAAGCTCACCCTTTGTTCAGCCCTTCGGCCAGCTCAGCATCTACAATATGCCTGCGCATATGGAGCCCTTCCCATCTGGGACACAGAAGAATGGGAATCGGGCGGTGAGGACTGGCCAGATGCTTACAGATTTTGCCCCATGAGCAAGGATGAGGCTTTATGTTGCATTGTGGCATTTTTCCACCATGAATGGCAGAAGCCTGCCTTTATGATTTACACTGGTTTGCTTTTTGGTCTCCCCTTGGCAGTCACGTCTTTCAATCGCTACAGTAGGCTGGTGGAAGCATTGGCGCGTCGATTCACTTTTTGTTTGACCAGCTTGTATTTCGATGATGCTCATGTGACTGATAGGAAGTCTTGCAAAGGATCCGGCCAACGAGCAATGCAGTTTCTCAACAATCTTTTGGGCACACCCTTCTCAGCAGAGAAGTGCCAGAGGATGCAGCAATCAGGCACTTTCTTGGGGCTCGATCATGACTTCAGTCAGATTCACACCCAAGGCACCATCCAGTTTTGGGCCCGTGAACGCATCGAACAGAAGCTCCTTCATCTCATGAAGCACGCTGAGGATTCCAGCCGGCTTCAACCAGGAGTTGCAGCTAAGATCTATGGCGTGGCCAACTTCTTCGAATTGGGAGTATGGGGGCGTATTGGGTGCGGAGGTTTAGCCCCAATCAAGCGCCGACAACAGGAGCGTACCTCAGAGTTAACTGAGGAGCTGCGTCGATGCTTTGACTTGTTGCGCGCTGTCATTGCTACCAAACCCTCCAGGACAATCGAGATTTGGCCACATGCAGGGCCACGTTTTCTGGCGGCCTCAGACGCAGCCTTGGAAATCCCAGGCCAAGGGACAGGCGGCTTCTTGGTCGTCTGGCATGATGGCTGCATCCAGCGGCGGGAGGCCTTTGTTTCGATCATCCCCCCAGTGGTGTACAACCTCTGGGAGCCAGGAGACACCAAGATTGCCCAACTGGAGTTGTTGCAGGTCTTCTATGCGCTCTTCACCCGTCCATCGACGTTTCGTGGCCGTAGAGGACTTTGGTTCATTGACAATACAGCGGCGCTGATGGCTCTGATTCGAGGACGTTCAGATAATGCAGATTTAGAACATATGACTCGTCTGATTCATATCACTCTTTTTGCACTCCAAGCCTGGTTCTTTTGGGAGTGGATCCCTAGCAAGGCCAACTGGTCCGACGAGATCAGTCGTGTGGGCCTCCAGGCTACATGGCACAAGCGCCATGGGTTCACCACGCATTTCGCAGTTTTCCCCTTCGAGCTGTGGTCTCTACCACTTCCTGCGTTTCTTCAGGTCGTGGAGTTTCTCTAAGTGCTTTGGGAGGAATGAAGTGCATTGGGAAGGATTCACCCTGTGTAGCCTCCTGGGTTGACAGGAGTGCGGAACAGGGAGTATGGATCTAACCAGTGCTGCTGTGTAGGAGGATACCTACACAGCTACCCAAAGCATTAATCCTGCTGGAGGCAGGTTGAGACCATACGAAGCGACAGGAAATAGGAGAAAAGGATATGCGAGCGTGAACCTGGTGTGAACGAGTGTGTTTAACATCTATGCTTTACACCTCACATCTAATGTATGTATGCATCGTGTTTGGCAGGCACTGGGTGTGCATTATCATTAGGGTGAGTGTGTAAGTTGATGAATCCATTTTGGCTCAAGTCTGAGCCAAACTGGCTTCATCATTCTTCTTTTCCCTCCCTTCCCTCCCTATGAGATAGGACTCCCGTGGAGTATCCTCTCTTGTAGGGGATCACATCATTGCGGATGTTGATCTCTACGTGCCGTTGCACGACTGAGCACTAGGTGGGAAGGATTCACCCTGTGTAGCCTCCTGGGTTGACAGGAGTGCGGAACAGGGAGTATGGATCTAACCAGTGCTGCTGTGTAGGAGGATACCTACACAGCTACCCAAAGCATTAATCCTGCTGGAGGCAGGTTGAGACCATACGAAGCGACAGGAAATAGGAGAAAAGGATATGCGAGCGTGAACCTGGTGTGAACGAGTGTGTTTAACATCTATGCTTTACACCTCACATCTAATGTATATATATACTATTTTATATACTATACATCAGTTGATTATATAATATACTATCGTTTCCGTAGATTTCTTTGGTGAAATCCCATTAAAATTGCCGTTCAGGTCGCCACAAGAGACGACGCAGGTGCCGTTTTTTTTCAAAACGGAGCGGTATGGACCAATGGAGCACTTTTAAGAGGGAAAATCATGGGAAAATCATGAAAAAATCATAGAACATATGGGAAAAATGATTGGACAATGATTTTTCACGGGAAAAATCTGCGAAAATTCTGGACACATATGCGACAATTATGGAACACATGATGGGGAAAAACTAAGTGGCCTCAAATTACTACACAGGCAAATAACAATTCTATAGTATTCCATAGTATTAATCATAGTGGGGAAACCAAATTGATTGAATCGACACCAGTCTTGAGGTATTCTCAAAAAAAATGCCAAACGCTTTTTCAAATCTGGGACCCAATAGCAATCCAACATTGTTTTTGGGGTACCCCTATTTCGAGAAGTAGCAATTTCGGGATATGTCGTGGACAAAACCATCAAAAAACTCACCGTTTCCCATGACTTTCCCATTCAGTTTTATCCCGATGTTTTGGTAATTCGGATGATCGATCCATTGCAGTTACATATGGAATTACCAATTTTTATTTACTGTAGATTAATACATCAACAGATACAGTATGATACATTGAATTAATATTTACTGATTGAGTTTCACTTTTTTGAGGATTTACATATTGAATCGCTGTTTCTTGCTGTTTAAAATCTCACATTTTTTGTCGGATTCAAGAGGATTCCCAACAGATCCAACAATATATTTACCATCTGGTTATGACTAACAGTTTGCCATGGAAAGATCCACCATGCTATTAATAGGACAACCATCTATTTCTATGGGCCATCAATACCATGGCGAACTCTTAAATTACCAGAGGGTAGTTATATCTCTAGTATCTCCGCAGTTAAATCAGCATTTTCGATGTTACTGTAGGGCATGTTTCCCTACTTTTTGGGGTATGCACAGTTCCCTTTTCTTCACAGATCCAGCCACCACGGGCACCGTCGCCGGCGACGTCGACACCACTCCAGCTACTTTGCGTGCAGAGAGGCAGTGGCTGCTGGATGTTGAATGGTTCACGAGGGAGACCAAAGGCTTTATCAACCCCCCAGGAAACCAACATACTGTGGATGGTTGCGAAATCCTGCACCAGTTGATAGGTGATAAACATCCCACTATTTATAGGCTTTCAACCATCCAAGCTGGTGTAGGATTTCGCAACCATCCACTGTAGCCATGTAAAACCATGATTTTTCATAGGTATATCATGGTCAATCATATGCAAATGAACCCCTTTTCCATAGCTATGTTAAATTACCGGAGGATAAGTTTACTTGGGGATGCGTCCCACACAAAACCAGCATTTTTGATGGGTTAGAAACAGTTTATGAGGGGTTTCCCAGGATTCAGAAGTGGGTAGTTACCCGAAAGATAAGCCATATCTGGGGATATTCCATATAACTTATCATGTATACATTGTATGAACTGAATATGTATATATATATATATACATAATATATATATATATACATACATCATATAATATACAACCGGGGTATGATATGCTGGGACCCCATTTAGAAACCCGGATGCATATCCAACCAACAAGTACATATCTGGATGTTTTTCAAGGTATCTAAGAGTGACCATGTAGTGCATTATAAGCTTACCAGTCCCTGAATTGTAACCCTGAATATTGGGAGGCTGCCATAGTTACCCGCAAAACCAGTGTCAAATGAACTTGGCCCATGCCTTCTGCAAATTTAGCAAATATAGCTATGTAAGCCATGGCCCATTTAGTTCAGCTTTTCAAAATGGCAATGTTCCTCAAACTAAAGCAAATTACCAGAGGGTACCCATATCTTCTGATAGGACACCCATTAAGGATGATGGCTAGGTGTTGACCCCGCTTGGTCAGCGAGGATTTGATAATCTGGACTTGATACTCGACGATTCCTCGTATTGATTGCTACAATACCATTTTCATATTAATTCATGTTAGTATGAGGTGATAGAGAAAGAATGGGCATATTTATATATATATATATTCCTCTTCCTATCCTAGTGGGTTCTAGTTAACAATTCTAAATATTGCACCATTTATTCTCAGTGTTGTTTTAATGACATCCCCCTTAGACCCTTCGTTTTATGCAATCTCAGTGTATCCTAGATGATGAGTTGGATATTCGATTTTAGTGAAATGAATACTTTGCAAGTTCTACGGATACTTGATTACCACATTTTGATCACCACATTTTGATTACCACATTTGAGCAGTGTTCAACATTACTCCCATATTCCCATTTTATATCTCTGCAATACCCTCTGGTAAACTAACAGTTTGCTATTGAAAATTGCCATTTATTTCGTTGAATTACCCATTAAAAATGGTGATGTTCAATAGTTATGTGGCTGTTTACCAGATGGTAAAACACCATAAATCCCCATTGAGTCCCATTATATAAATCCCCACTAAAATCACCATTAAATCACCCTTCATTGATCAGTTCCATCGTTTTTTGTATGTTTATTAGGCCGGGTATCCCCAATATTCCGACATCCCCAGGATTTTCCGAAACGGGGTGGCTGTTTTTTCGAGGACCAGCCCAGCAGCCCACCCAGCCACCCAGCAACACTACCCGCCAGGGGATGATCGAATTGCAGGTAAGGATCCACCTTTCATAATATGTGTTATCCCTAGTCTAGTGATCTATCTATATATATAATTATATATATATATAATTTATATAATTATATATATATATATAGAATATATTGAATAGGATGTATATATATATATTTCACTTTGGATAGTAGGGGGAATGGAGTTGAAGATGTCACTGGAAAGCATATCCTTAACCTTCCCAGTGACATCAAGAAAGTCTAAGAGGCCGCTGAAGGGAAGCGTGGGGGCAACTAAACTTGGAGCTATGCCAAAGCTTCGACCAGCTCAACCTCCTGAACAACATGGGGAAACTGCTTCTTCTTCAGCAAGACCTGCCTCGAGTCTGCCTTTTCCTACTGCGCCTGTTCCTTTTTTTTTCCGTGAGAGCGCAACAAATGAGGGATTCGATCCTGATACTGCACCAAGGTCCGTAGATGATATTGCTGTTCAACTCAGGAGAGAAATTTCAGCACACGCTTTGGCACCTGTCTTCTGCAAGCAACCTCCCATGATCGGAGACGTCAGACTACCAAGTTCGCATGACAAGTTGATTGGTGTGGAAATATAAGTCTATTATTCCTGTTTTGATCGATGTCATTGGAAAACATATCCCAAGTTCCATTCTCCTGAAATCTTTTGTCAGTCTTGCATTTGGAGGTTTCCTAAAATGGGGGTACCTCCAATTCATTCATTGTAACATAGGATTTTCCATGAAATAAACTATCCAGCTATTGGAGTAGCCCCATTTATGGATAGGATTTTCCATTATAAACCATCAATTTCGGGGTACAGCAGTCCCCCATCTATGGAAACCCCATTTATTGATTGCTTCATTGATTACCCCCTGGTAAACAAACATAGCTATTGAAAATTGTCATTTATTTCGTTGAATTACCGAATTACCCATTAAAAATGGTGATGTTCAATAGTTATGTGGCTGTTTGCCAGATGGTAAAACACCATACATCCCCATTGAGTCCCACTATATAAATCCCCACTAAAATCACCATGAAATCACCCTTCAACCAGATGAGTTAACCATCGTTTTTTCTGATGGTTCAACAATCATCCCAACTGACTCATATTTTTCAGTCATATTTTTCAGAGGGGTAGGTCAACCATCAACCAGTTTTCATATATTATATCATAATATTATAATATATTATCATAATATTAGTTTCAGTCTTCCCAGTTTTCAATACCATCCACTTTCCAGTGGCCACATCACCAAGGTCGTGACCGTGACCGACATGACACATCCAGGCGCCAGCCACGCTACCCCGTTAACGTTTGCCGAGCAAACATGGCTGGGAAATCCCCCTGAAAAATGGAGAAGATCATCGGAAAACCATCGGAAAATCCTGATTTCTATGGTAAAATCATAGGAAAATCATAGGGAAATATGGAAAACTACGGAACAACTAGATGGACAGGTGCGCGTATTTTTTCTGGAGGTTGAGTTCGCTGGGAAAATCATGTAACATGATACACTTTCCAGCAAACCATATTTGATTACCGGAGGGTGTAGGTGAAATGTTGGGTTTGTGCTTTTTGGATCTTTTTGGTATATCGAGCCAATTATTAACTAATTGGCTGGGTGGATTTTCCAGAAACCCAGTGGCGCATGTCTAACTGGACAGAACTTTGAAGATTAAACTTGGTCAACATCCAGACTTCGTCCATCAAATACGGGCTTCAGGACGCACCGATTGGGGTTGGTGGATCGATCCTACTGATCTGGGTCAATTTGATCACGACCGAAGCCTGTTCTCCAGCCTGGAATCATGGTTTATTTATGGGAAATCATACCCTTTTATGGCCTTAATTCATTCCCCTTTTATGGCCGAACTATTCATCTTAATTAAGTATTCATCTTATTTATGGGAAATCATTCCCCTTAATTCATTTTAAATTTTTAAGTATTCAGCGATTTACCCAGATGGGACTAAGATCCCAAATTGTCCATGGGATTTGACAAGTTTTGGGATGGGCAGCATTGGCCATTGATTCTGAAAAAAAACCATCCATTGCCTTGTCCAGGACAGGTACCCTCTGGTAAACGTTTACAGCTTGCTATTGAAAATGGCAATTTATTTCGTGGATTTACCATGATTTACCCATTAAAAATGGTGGATCTTTCCATAGTTATGTGGCTGTTTACCAGAGGGTACTACATTAAATGACATTCCCATGACCTACAGCAAGCCGTTGTGGTCGACTTCACATGAGGGTCATTTCGGAAAGCGTCCTCTTGATGTTCTCAAATTATGCTGCTCGACCAGTTTCTGTCCATATGGGTTTCATCACCAAGGTTGTGCCGCCAAACGATAGCTAAGTTGGTCTGTAAATAACATAACTAGGGTTCATGGATTCATGGTAGATTTATCGAACTGGCTAATGAGGTTTATAAACCAAGTAACCTACCTGGCACAAACCATCCGGGCAAGAACGCATATTCTGCGTTGCAAAATTACTTGTAAATCACAATCTCAAAGTATCTTCAATATGCTAATGCATCCCCATACGTGTATATATATACATAATTATATATATAATTATATCAATATGACATCATTCCATCAAACAAATCAAATATATTACCATGTTTACATACCATGTAAAAACATGTTTTTTGCGGGGCAATGGCTATGCGGACTTACCTCCATTACGCCAAGCCACACCAAAACCGCAATGGCGCCCTCAGGGGTCGGCGCAAGCGCTTGAAGACCGAGAAGGAACTCTGGCTTTGGAAAAAACGGATTTCTATGGTGATTTAGTGGGGATTTTGCTGGTCTTTTAATGGTGATTTAAATCCGGATTTAATGGGATTCAATGGGGATTTGTGGTGTTTTATCATCTGGTCAACTAACATAGCGAACTGGAAAATCACCATTTTTGATAGGTAAATCAGCAAACTCAATGGCCATGGCTTCAATAGCTAGCTGTTAAATTAGCAGAGGGTATCCCAATTTTGATGTTGAATCTCCGGGATCAATTTTGATGTGGGGTTGAGTCAAAACCTGTTATCAGATTTGGGGGAATAAACATCCATTAACCAGCCGTTTTAGGGTACCATCCGGGTGCCAGGGTTTTGACGGTTTTGACTCATAGCCATATGTTTTGACCCCTTAGGTCTGTAGTTCCACTTATGAAATAGCAGTTATATAGCGATGGTTGGATGGGGTTAAATCATCAATGGTCATTTCAGGAACCTAAATTGGAGGTACCTACCATATATAAGGCCTATATTTCAGGCCTAAGTTTCAGGGAATATCCCCACAAAATATGGCCAGAAATATGGTACGAACGTACCTCCATTGAATCGGATCCTGAAGATCTACCATTGATAATAAACCAGATCGTAACTAGTTCGATATATCTGCCATAAACCCAAAGATAATTTCGGAGTTAGAAACGCATCTTAACTTTACCAACGATCTGGTGGTTATTTACCAGTTGTATCATCCAAGTATCCACTCCACTCCATTTGGATCTGGTGAAACATCGTGGCTCGGCCCCCCAAAAAATGGGCACTCCATTGCCACAAGGGAAAGAAAAACATATAGCATAGCCATGTATACATAATTTTCAAACACAGCCATATATCATATGATAAATTATTATTGTAGTAATGGGTAATATATATATATATATATACTTGAGTTTTACATATTCCATGTTAATAAAATGGGAGTTTTGCCATAAACAGTGTATATTCATGTATATTCCATGGCATCCCCATTGTATTCCCATTGGTTGGCTATACTCCATGCGAATCTCACGGCAGGACAACTCCGGTGAAGCCAACAAGCAGCCGGTGGTCCCACGTGCGCAACGCGAGGTCTACGTTCCATGGCATCGAAATTCGGCTGGTACTCATCTGGTTGGTGGTTT